TTATCAGATCGCTTTGTGGTCAGCGTGGCGTTTTTGCCCAGGGACCACGGAAATTGTTCTCTGGCCTGGCTGGTTGGGCTCTTAGAATTTATTCAGCTGGACATCATTGTGTTAAGAATGGGAAAGTGATGCTTGAGGAGGGAAGGAACTTGCCCAAGGTCACGCAGCAAGTTAGGGACAGAGACAGGACCAGATTCAGGGCTTCCTGCACAATGCTCACCTGAGGACGTGTGGGCCTGGGGCATGAGGTCCAGTCAAGGGCTTGCCAGCCCCTCCCAGCTGTCTCAAGGCCTGGTGGCTCCCGTGGAAAGCCCCAGAGGCCAGCCAGCTGCCTCCACAGGGTGCCCGTGGCCACTGGGAACAGGGAGGGAGAGCATGGACAACTCCATGCAGCTCGCCTCCCACCTCGCCGCTGATGGGCACGTCTGCGCGGGGTCCGTTCCCTGGGGTCGGGGTCTGTGACGGTCCATGGGCAGGGCAAACTCTCACCTCCGTGCTGGGAAAACTATGGGCAGCTGAATTGCAGGGCTTCCAGGTCCCCAGAGTCGGGGCAGGATGGAGAAGTAGCCCTGCTCCAGCGGTCCGGGCTGTGCCACCCTGGGTCTCCCTCCCCCAGGCAAGCACAGGCAGGGTGACAACAGTTGTAAGAATGGCCATCGTCCATCAGGCGTGCCTGTGTCCCTTCTTTTGAGCTTACCGAGTCTGCCCATGTACCGCACAAGGTGGGACTGCCACCCCCATTTCACAGAGGAGGAAACTGAGGCTCCTAGGTAGTGGTAAGTGGGCCCCCAGGAATCACAGAGTAGCAGATGGCTTTCGCAGTTTGCCTGCCCTTCTTAGTGGAGTCCGTGGAGACTCCTCTTATCTTTGATTCTGGAAGGCCCGGGTCGCTCATGGCAAGCCTTGTCTGCTGGGCTCCCTGGACCAGGCTGCCCTTTCAGGTTGAAAGCAGGCCTGTACTCGCATGCACCTGTGTGTGCGTGCGTGCGTGTGTGTGTGTGTGGGGGGGGGCAGCATGGCGGGTAGGGGTGCACACGCGGAGCGGTGGCTGCTCACAGCCCATGAGGCGGCCTTCCGCGGGCCATTACTGCCTGCCTGTAATGGGATCGGCCGCCCTGGTTAAGTGTGCACATTAATTTAATATCTCCTCCGTGGAGACAATCAGTTGGCATTTAATTTGTGTTTCCTTCCGAGCAGCGGAGTACAGCTGGGCAGCCAGGCTGCTGATGGGCACGTCTGCGCGGGTCCCTTCCCTGGGATCAGGGGCTGAGTGCAGACGGGAGGAGGGCGGTGAGCCTCAGCAGGGCAGGGTCAGGAGGCACTTGTGAGAGCTGGGCTCGGGGGTGCGGAGGGCCTCTCTGCTTGCAGGCAGGGGCACCCAGCCCTCCTTCTGCTAGAGGGAGAAGGTGCTCACGGTAAACCACGTGTGAGGAGGAAGTCAGGATGGAGAGGGGAGTTTGAGCAGTTAGCTGCCTGGGAGGAGGGCTGTCTTCCCAGCCCCACCACCCGCACTGCCTTTTCCGCTCATCTGTGTTTCTTTTCTGCCACAAGTGGGAATTGTTTGTGATATGGGCCAAGGGGGTGCTGGGGCATGGGAAGTTGACTCAGTTGTGACATTGAAGCTCTCTAGGGGGGCTCAGCGGAAACTAAGAGGGTGGGCGGCTCTGGATCTTCATCTGTAACTGGGGCTCCTTTGACGCGCCCGCTCTGATCTCCTGCCCGTGGGCTTCGGTGAGACTGCATTTGAAGAAAAGGCCCCCTGGTCTGCGTATGGGCCGGGCCGCCTTGTCCCCCAGCTCGGATGTTAGTCTGGACCGTGGCTCTGCAGTGAGGCCAGGGGCAGGACACGGTCCATCCGCGTGGGAAGGGGAGCAGTGCCTTGTGCATCTGTGGGCGGGGCATACACAGAAGCCCAGGGGGAGCCCAGGGGGGTGGGCAGCTTGGCCCTGGCACGCTCCTGGCCTTGGCGGCAGCCTGCACCCAACTGTGCTGCAAGGGGGTGAGCTCCCCGTCCTTCTGGGTGGAAATTATTGTCTGCCACCTGCCCTCCACCAGAGGCCAGGCCCATGCTTGCCCCAGAACGAAGTTTTCCACTGTGGGCTCCGGCCTACCCTCACCTGAGCTCACTTCCCATCATCTGAGTGAGTCAGCCAGGGTGTGCCAGCGACTTACCTTCCCTGGAAAGGTGTGGGCCATTCCTGGGCCACGCTCCCAGCTCTCTGAGGTCTGGGCTCTGGAGCCAGCTGTGGCGTTCCATGGCTCACACCGAGCTGCCAAGCATCTATTGTCTGCTCTGCGCCGGGGGCGGGACTGGGTGTCTTCGTCCATACTGCCCACCTTATGTCATCCTCACAACCACCCTCCAAAGGGGTGGAGTGCTTCTCATCTCAGAGATAAGGAAACTGAGGCCCAGGGAGGGTGATTGTTTTGCCCAAGATCACACAGCTGGGAAGTGGCCGGGGGCAGGATTCAAACCTAGTCCTTTGCTGCCTAGGCATCTTCAGGACTTTCTCCCCAGCAGCCCCATGGCTGTCCCTGAAGCCTTAATTGTTTTTCTGGGGCTGTACCCACTTTCCTCTGGAGCTGGAGCCCCAGACCTCCTTTCTCTGACGGCACAGGAAGTGAAAACTCTGTGAGTCAGCCCCTCTGCCAGTGACTTCAGCCTGGCTTTCCGCCCCCCAGCAGGCCAGGCTTTGTCAGTCCCTTTCCTGAGGCTGTGTGTGTCATCAGGAGCTGATAGGGGTCAGGGGGAGGAGACCCTGGATGGGGGGTGGGGGTTGGGGGTGGAGGGGAGGCTGGCGGTGAAGCTGCCTCCCCCCTCCCCCCCAGTGGCCTGCCAGACTTCTCGTCCATCCTGTGGTTGTGGCGGTGGTTCTTCTGGCATGCGGGGAGACCACATCTGCCTGGGGCTGTGCTGCCACCCCCCTGTCCCAGCCCCTGGCCTCACATGTGTTCTCCTTCTGCTAAGGTAGTGGCTGAGCCCCAGACCTCAGCTGCCGAGTCACTTTGTAGGGTCATTTCCTCTCCCGGCCCTCTTTGTCCTGACGTCTCTGCCTCCCCTCCTCAGCCCCTAGGGCAGTGGGAAGTGGGGGAGGGAAGCTTTCTCCTTCTCCCTGCCCCCTTCCTGCCCTGGAGTGGACAGAGCTGAGCGGAAGGCTAGTGCTCGGAACTTGGCTCCTGGGAGCCCCTGGCCCGGGGTGGTGTAGGCGGAGAATGTTCCAGGCAGAAGAGGTGAGCAGGAGGGCTGAGGAGTGATTGTGGTTCGGATTCATTCATTCAACAAATCCATACAACTGTTAGGCTCCTCACCAAGTGCAGGTGGGTTTTAGGTGCAGGAGTACGGCAGTGAGTGCAGGAATGGTAATTATAACCACTTCTCAGCCCTGCTGGAAGGGCCGGACCCCCGGCCTTAGACCCGACTCCTCTGAGGAGTTGTATGAGGAGCCCTCCTCTGTGCCTCTTCTCCCACTAGAACAGGCCTCTCTCTCATGTTTCCTTCATGCTCCGTCAGGCCAGGTCACAGGGGGCCTAAGACTTATGAGATGGGTGTTGGAGGGCTTCTCCATGCTGCCCGCACACAAGTCCAAGTTCCCGATTTGTGGACTCCAAGTCTGAGCCCCTGCTCGCCCTCTAAACTGGTGCAGAGGCTCTCCAGGACGGCCCTTGCCCTTGCCCGCTACTCCGTCTGGCCGCCGAGCTGTGGGTCATGCTGGGCTGCACTCCGGAAGCTCTGGGGGTGCCATGCGTCAGCCCCTTCCTCACTGGGATCTTGATTTCCTGTTCAGTTCAAGGCTCCAGGCAGTGGGAAGGTTTGAGCACAGGCCACTGGAGGGATTGGGGCGATGAGTCGCAGAGGGCAGGAGGCTGGGCTGGGGCCAGGAGATGCGCCCTGAGGTCCAGTCCAGCCAGAGCTGAGGGCTGGTCGCATGACCTTCAGAGAGTGTGGGAACAGGATGGGTTCTTCTTAAGTGTCCCTGGTGTGTGCTGGGGCTGTGTAGGTGGAGAGACCCAGGCTCTGAAAGATGGAGGCAGGTGCTCAGGGAGGCCGAGCCTGGGTTCAGACTCACATTCCTCCGCCTCCCTCCTCGTGAGCTGTGGCCTGGGCTAAGGGAGTGGAGGGCACTCTGCCATCCACTCCCTGTGGGACCCCGGGCCTCAGTTTCCCTATCTGTACCCTCAGAGGTGTGGACTGGGTGAACTCTGGCCCCTTCCAGCCTTCAGTTTTGGAGATAGAGTCTCTGAGTAAAGGTGTGACATAGACATGACCCCACCTTCCTAGCTGTGTGATCTTGGGTAATGGTCTTGGCCTTCAGCTTCTTCATCAGTAACATGGAGATAATAGTTGTACCTGGAGGTGACCGTGAGGCTTGTTTAAGTGAGGTTGTGCACGTGATGCTCCTAGGAAGGGTGCCTGGCACATGGTGCGCGCTCGGTCCATATCAACTGCTCTCTTAGTGTTCTTACCCTCCTCCTCCTCCATCATTGTCTGCCCTGCTGCTGCGTGGCCGTGGACAGAGAGCCCTCGGAGACTGCCATCCGAGGGCGTCTGCAGGGTGGGGAGGGAGAGGCTGCGGGGGGCGAGAGCAGGTCCCCGTGGTGTGGTGGGGGCACAGCTGGTGCTGGGGCGGGGCCCTGAGCACTTTCTGGAGGTGGAGAAATGAAAGATGGAGGGCAGTCCATCCCTGTCCCCCACATCGCAGCTGGCTCTTTGCGTGAGAGCCTTGCGGGATGAGGTCCCATGGCCAAGCGGCCCAGGAGGCGGGGATCCCGAGGCCCGGCTGCCTGGAACCAGAGCTCAAGGAGGGAACGCAAGTGACGTCTGGGGAAGAGATGGCATTGGAGACAGCAAGGGAATGAATAGGATTCAGGAGGCTGAGGAGGAGCTGGGGAGGGCGACTGGCTTCGGTCCGAGCCTCTGCGTCCTCATCTGCACGATGGGGACAATCCTTGGGGGAAGGTTAAGTGGTACTTTCTATTTTACGTGTATATGAATGCCTGACATGGTGAACGCCACCCAGAAGGTGACCAAGCAGTGTGCCTCTTCTCCGTTCTCGTATCCAGCACTTTAAGGAAGAAAAGTTGGAAGTTTCATGAGCCAGTGGGTCAGGGTGGGCAGGGGTGGCTCCAAGTGATTCAGGCCGCCTCAGCCCTGGCTGGAGTTATCTCTGTGCTCCGGGCCTTCATCTCCCCACCTGTAAAATGGGGCGGGGGGGTGGGGTTCTCTGTAGCGTCACAGCCTACAGTGTGCGTGCCTTTGCTCAGCGGGGGCCAGGTGGGAGAGCCGGCTTATGGGACACGCTGTCGACCAAGCCCTGGCCCCTAGTAGGTGTGTCTCCTGAATGGCTCCTCCCTGGCCTCCCTGCTGCCCATCTTTGCTTCTGTGGGTGCCTCTGCCCGAAACACCCATCCTTACTGAAACCTTATTCCTGCGGGCAGATCCAGGGCAGGGGAGGGGACTGTCCCTGGGACACAGGTGTTGCAATTGAAGCGGCTGCAACTTGGTTGACCAGTTTTCGGTTAAGCTGCCTGCTCCCTCTGGGGCTGGACTGCAGCGAATGCAGGGACGTCTGTGGCCCCTTAAGAAGCCCAGCACTGCTGTCCTTCCACCCCAGTCAGCCAGAGCAGCTGAAGGGCACAGCTTTTCTGCACCGTCAACGCTGGCGCGAGCAGAGCCAGCCCTTCTCACCGCGGTGTGGGCCGCGGATTGGGTCTGTCAGGCCGGCTGCCGCGAGCACGCGGGGCTCTGTCCTAGGTCGTCCAGGAGCAGGCCTGCTGGCTGCCTACCCATCCGGGCTTTGGAAGTCACAAAGGCCCGTGCAGTCATTGGTACGAAGCTCATCTGTCGGGATGCGGCTTAGAAACACCAGTGAGATGTGGGGCCGCTCCAAGTGCGGTGTGTGGTGGCGGGTGGGCAGGGGGTGCTCATTAGGAATGCAGTGTGTCCGCCCCACCCCAGACCTGCCCAACCCGGACAAGATCCCCAGGGGATTGCTGTGCCCATCACAGCTTGGGCCTTGCTGCTGAGTTAGGGCGCGGGCAGCGCTTGAGTCCCGTCCCGGCTTACTAGCTGTGCGACCTTAGACAAGTTACCTCACCTCTCTGAACTTCAGCTCTTGCACCCGCAGGATGGATTTGGGGAAGAATTCTCCACCCGAGCAGGTTAATAATACTTCACATGAAAGCCAGTGAGATGTGTGTGAGGCCCTGAGCTCGGAGCGTGGGACGCAGACTGAGCTGGCCCGTCAGGGGTTCTTGCTCTTGCTACTGTCTGGAGATCCAAAGGCCTGGCTCATGTTTTCGCTCCGGGCTGGACTCGGGGCAAGTCGCTTTCCTTCTCTGGGCCTCCTTTTCCCTGTCTGTACCATGGGTCTGTGGAGCCCTGCGGCACCTCATCAAAAGGTTGCTCGAAGGAAAAGTGAGAGGGGCCGGGTCTCATGTCTGGGAAGCGGGTATGTGGGGGTGAGAGGCCCCTGGGTGCCCACACCTCTGCCCCTCGCTGCCCCCTTCTCTGCGGCTCCTGCTGTTGCTGAAGGCAGGCCACAACCCTTCCCTGCACCTGCTCAGCTCAGCGGCTTGGAGCTGAGTCCCCTGCCCGTGGCCCCCCCCCCCGAGCAGCAGGGCCAGGAGAGATGATTCAACTCAGACCTGTGTTCTGGGCCTTGGCCTCCCTCGACAGAGGCCCCAGAAGCCCCGTGCTGCCGGGCAGGTGGAGGGCGGACTGTGAACTTCTCCCCACCTGGGATCCCTGTCTCCCAAGGTGCGGTGTCTCCCCACACACCTCAGGGATCCCTGTCTCCCACTGGACTCCTGGCCTTGCCCCTGACGTACCGGGTGACCTCGGGCAAATTGCCTGTACACTCTGGATCTCAGCTTCCTTACTTGTACAGTGGGGGTACTCGGTGAGATGGTCTCACCTGGGTTTGACCCTTAGGTTCTCTCACTGCCCCTCCTCAGTTTCCTCTGTGTCCTTCATCCCTGGTAGGAGCCCCAGCCCCCCTACCCCCCAGGTGCTGGACCCTGGAGCCTGTGGCAGATCTAGGCCTGGCTGCCAACGCCAGGGGGCTGGTAAAGACCAGAGGGAATGAGGGAGAAGGGGAGCGTGTGGGGGAGAGGAGGAATTTTCCTCTGTGTGTGCAAGCAGTGTCCGTCTTCTCTTGTTTCCAAAAGCCAGTGACGTAACGCACCCTTCATCCATTCCTCCCTTCTGGCCTATTTTTAGCTGGCCCCGACAAGCATCCTAAAAGGCTTCCAGACTTGCCTGCTCTGAGGCCATGTAGGGAGACGGCCATAGGGTGAGGAGAGAGAGGAGTTCATCTGTCTGTCCCAGGATGCAGGGAGGGAAAGAACCTGCCCCAGGCTTCCTCTGGGGAAGGAAGGGAGCTGGGTGGGGAGCCCGGTGAGGGCTCTGATGGATCCTGGTTACCAGTGCTCAGTTTGGAGCCTCCAGCCTGGGTTTTGAGTCCTGCCTCCACCTGTCCTCACCCTGACCTTGGGCCCCTGACTGTCTGCCTGGCTTTCCTTTCTTCATTGTAACACGGGCTAACAGTACAGCTGTGCTGGGGGGTTGTTAGGAGGATTGAATTATGTCACGTGGAACGGTGCCTGGTGTAAAGTAAGCACTCAGTTAAGGTGAGCTGGTATTGGAATGGTGATTAGGATTATTATTTTTTTAAGACTTATTTATTTGAGAGAGAGAGCAAGGCCATGGGGGAGGGGGAAGGGGCAGAGGGAGAGAGAATCTCAAGCAGACTCCCTGCTGTGCACAGAGCCCTATGTGGGGCTCGGTCTCATGACCCTGAGAGCATGACCTGAGCCAGAATCAACACTCGGACACTTAACTGACTGAGCCACCCAGCCGCCCCCAGTGATTATGATTATTAACATCCCATTCCATCTCCAATTAATGTTGGGGTTACACCGTGAGCCCCTGTGTGCCTCCTGCCCTTTATTCTTTCCTGTGGGGCTTTAACCAACGTGTACTCGAATGAGACAATACAGAGAAAGCCCTGGAACGGGGCCTGGCACATCTTAAGCACTGACTAAGTGAGAGCTATATTTATTGTTTTTGTTTTAATGTAATAAAACAGGCCTGAGTTTGGATTCCAGCCCCATCCACTAGCTAGCTGAGTGTCTTTGGGGAAGACACGTAACCTCTCTGAGCCTCAGTTTCCTTATCCATGAGACAGGGATAACAGCTGTGTAGGAGATTTTTTTGCTGATGAGGGTTGCCCCTGGACAGAAAGACTCCCGCGGAGCATGATGATCAGCACAATAAAAGTTTCTTTCTTGCGGTGCTGGCTTCAGCCAGGCTCCTGAGTGCCAGCCAGTCTCCATACGGTGTGATGCAGCAATGGCAGGAGCGGTGGTATTTGCACGGCACTTTACAGTTTGTGTGAAGGGGACATGGTGGTCCCTCCTGCCTTTGTCTCCCCGGGGTGCAGTGCTCATGCTGGGAACCTGGCACTTGTCACCCCCGCCTGATGTTATGGGTATGTGTCGACCTGGCTGTCCCCCTCCCCTACAGTGAGAGCTCCCGGAGGGCAGGCAGGGAGGGATTCATGGCTGCACCTTGCTTGCCCAGCCTGGGGACAGGCCCAGGGTGGGTGCTGGCTTGGTGTCTGAGGGCTGGACTGGCACGGGGAGGCCACCGTCTGACCACCTGTCCTTCTTGGCTCTTGCAGGTGGGAGGAGGAACTGGCCAAGCGCATGAATCTGCAGACCATGGTGGACACGCTGCAGGAGGTGAGCATCCCCGGAGGTCCCGACCACGAGAGGCTTGCGGGAGCTGTGTGGCCTAGGGATGCAGTCTCCATGGGACAAAGTCGGAGGCCGTTCCCAGCTCAGCCCCGGCACTCCTGCTGCCTCAGTCACTCCTTGAGGGAGCCACAAGGCCTCTTCCTTGTCCTCTGCTTTGGACCTAGGAAGGGACCGGCACAGTATTGCAGAAAAGCTTGGGGACGGGAGTAGGGAAGCCTGGGTCCAAGTCCCAGCGCTGACCCCAGCTTGCTGGGTGATGTTGGTCCAGTGACTCTTTCCAACCCTCTGCTCCCCACCTGAGTTCAGGACTGGATGGTCTCTTGAGCTGTCCTACCCCAACTTGCAGGAACTGACTTGGGGCTGAATGCCTTAGAGAGGGTGGGTGGCGTGTCACCGGGTGGGCTCCCAGTGAGAATATTCTGTTGCGGTTCTGGCTCAGTAGCTCTGGGTCTGGGCTCTGCTTCTCACCCACCTGCCGTGTACCCTGGATGGCAAACTTCACTTTCTCGGCCTCTGAATAACGACCCCATGAGAAGGCAAGGAAAAGTTATTTCAAACATTTTTAAAAATTGCTTTCCGATATTTAAAGCACTGATCTAAGAGATAGAATAAAGTAATGTCAATACGCAGAAGGAAAATGATGAATGCCTGTTCCTCCCCTTTGTTTTATAACAGAAGTCTTATTTACAAACATGACATGTTCACGGTCAAATATTTGGAAAATTCAGAAACAGAGAGAGAAGAAAATAAAACTCTCCTCCAGTTCTACCTGCCCTACTCCCTGCACACTTGATAAATTACCGGGAGACCTTCTGTCTTTTCTGTGCAAACACACATGTACTCTACATGTGTACATGTGTTTGTTTGGTTACATGGACACACGTGGCGTTGCCATTTTTGAGGTGGGAGATGGTCAACTATTGGCAATTTCACATGGACCGAGCTCACATTTTGACCTATTGGAATCACTTGTTCCACTAACCTGGCTCTTTTTCTTCTTAATGTCTGCTGGGGATTTTTCCACGTGATAGATATTCCTTGGAGAGGTGTTTTAAGCTGAGTGGTGCCCTGCAGTGAACTGGGCTTGGCGGGAAGCCGGGCAGGGGGGAGGTGCTCGGCACCCCTTTCTTGGCATGCAGGTGCCTGGCCTGGTTGGACATCAGGTGTCCAGGGCTGTGGACTCCGGTGTCCAGCCCCTCGCACCCCTCTGGGTGGCTGGTCCCCTAAACCCGCCCCCAACTCTGTCCTGTGTAGGCGGCGCAGGAGGCTGAAGCTATCCAGGAGGAGATGAACGAGAAGATTGAGCGGCTCAAGGCCGAGCTGGTGGTGTTTAAGGGGCTCATGAGTGATGTAAGTACCACTGGCTGCCGCCCCAAGCGTCATGACACCCCCCACCCCCGAACACCCATCATGCAAAATGCTTCATTCACTCCGAGGCTCCAGAGCTCGGCTTCTAGTTAGAGTCCTGGCTGGCTGCGTTTGCCCCGTGAGGATGACGGATGCATCGAGACCAGCCCCCCTCACCCCACTTCCGCTTCCCTTGGTCTGAGTAGAGATGCATTAATCTGCTGCTTAACCCATCCCGCCCTCCCCGGGGCTCCTCTGACGGTCTGTTTGTGTTTGCTCCGACTCGTCCCAGCTCGCCACATTGAGGGCGGGTGGTGGCCGTGGGCCTCGATGTCTGGGCACAGTGGAGGGCCCAGTGGCAGGTTGCAGGAAGGCCCCTGGGTCCTGTCTGTGTCAGCCGAGGAGGCTCCCTAGGCCAGCAGCCTGCAGCAGGGTTGCTTTGTAAAGTGGGGGAAGGCCAGCGTCTGCATCCTTTTGAAGACTGGAACCTCTCTGAGTGACTGTGGGTGCCGGGAGCTGTTGGCAACCAAAGCCTCCTTCCTGCTGGGGACCCAGGTTTCCTGCCCCCTTCAGGCAGCGGGCAGCATGTAGGGAGGGCCGCCAGAAAGGAGAAGGAGCCCGATGGCGGGTGACTCAGCCTGGTGTGGCTTCTGGTCCTGAGGGTTGTGGACCTGGGTGTGGCTGGCAGAAGCCTCCCGGGGAGGGGGCTGTTGGGGGAGCCCACGGGGCTGCTGGGGGAGCCCACGTGGCTTCCCCTCACTGGGGTCTTGGGGGACCCCCCTTGTCTTTGGTGAGACCCCGCGGCCATGGGAAGAAGCCTGGGGAGAGCGCGCCACCTTGGCAGGCCCGTCTGTTGCGGGGGGGGGGACAGGTGGGGCACAAGGGGTGGGAGAGAAGGGAAGTCTTTCAAGAGTGGGAGGTGTCTTTCTTCTTTGCTCTGACAAAATAAACACTGGCACTGTGTCTTTTGAGAGGACGCCTTTCAGCCCTTAGGGAGGCCGGCAAACATGGCCTCACATTGTCCACTTGGCGCCAAAGCCTTTAGCTCCCACGACCTCTCCACTCCCTCCCCCAACCTGAGCAGCGCTGGCCCCACCCTCCTCCCCAGAAGCTCCAGGCACCCCCCTTGGACTCGGACTCGGGGTTGCGCACCCCTCTGCCCAGCAGGAGCCTGGGAGCGACGGCCCCGCCCTGCCCCCCCATGCTCGCTCACGTAACCCCCCTGCTGTCCTCCCTGCAGCCCATGACAGACCTGGACACAAAGATCCAAGAAAAGGCCATGAAGGTGGACATGGACATCTGTCGCCGGATCGATATCACGGCCAAGCTGTGCGATGTCGCACAGCAACGGAACTCGGAAGACGTGTCCAAGATCTTCCAGGTGAATAGGGTCACCCTGCTCACCAGCGGCCACTCCCCCCCCGCCACTGCCCCGTCCCAGAGTGCCCGGCCTCTACCCTGCATGGCCAGGCCCTCTTTCCCTCCAGTCCCGCCCACTCCCCTTCCCCCAGAGCTAGCTTCGGCCCCCACTCTGGCCTCCCCAGGACGACATAGAGTCAGGGACTCGGTGACTCGTAGGCTCTTCGGGCTGAATGCTTCATCCTGTGGCTGAGGAGGCCACTCGCCCAGCGAGGGGACGTGATGGGCTCAGGGAGGGACAGGCCCAGCTGGGGCTGGCACTCTGGTCTCCTGACCCTCGGGGACTTGGTCCACAGGCCTGCTGGGCGCCGTCGCCAAGGTTGAGAGCCCTGGCCAGGCTGTGGGAGCGCCAGGTGAGCTGGCTCAGCTCTGGTAGATGAGCCTCAGAATTCCCGAGAGGAGCTGGTGGCCTCTGTTTTTCGTTCCCACTGAAGAGTCTCTCAGGGCCCACCCCCAGCCCTCAAGGAACAAGTGTGTGTCCCGAGAGAAGGCGATGGGGCAGTTTGCACTGGTGGGCTGTCCTCTGGGGAGGGCACATGTCATTCTCCAAAGGCTGCTTCTTGAATTCTGGGTCATGGTTTGGCTTTTGCTTGAGCCCAGGGCAATACAGCGTGTTGTCGCTTTAAGTGTGTGACTTTGGGTGTAGCAGGAGAGATCTGGGCTCGTCCGCCTCCGTGCCTTTTTGCTGCCCCTCTGCTGGGAAGCAGGGGTGACCATTCCAGGCTTTGTTCGGTTTGCTCTTGTCTTGTCTGCTTGGAGTGGAGGAAGCTTGGTGACCCTCGGGCTGCCTGCCCATTGCCTTTGCATGTGAGCAGGAGGGCTCTGAGGCATGGAGCCCTCTGGGCCTCTGTGAGGGGTTCTCTCTCTTTCTCTGGCTGGCTCTGAGACATCCCGGGGGACTCTGCACCCCGGTCTGGCCCGCTGCTCTCCCCAGATCCTGCAGGTGCTGCTCAGGTGAAGGGCCCAGCTGAGCCGGCCCACCCACTGCGGGAGGGAAGGGTCCGGGCCGTCTGTCCTCCCTCCTGCATGCGTCCCACCTCACGCTTCCTGCTAATGCCGCCTGCTTCTCAGAGGAGCACCACATCTTTCCCGGCAGTGGCTGCCCCAGCCACGCTCCATCCATCCCACGGGGTGCCGACTCCCTTCCCGGCCCACCCTCCCTCCTGGCAGAGCCTCCCACTTAACCTCCATCTCTTCCCTCCCGGGCCAGGTGGTCCCCAAAAAGAAAGAGCGTAAGGTGGCTTCGGATGACGACATCTCCGAGCAGGACGGGGAGGTGAACCGGTTCTCGGACGACGAGGTCGGCTCCATGAACATCACAGACGAGATGAAACGCATGTTCAACCAGCTGTGAGTATCTCCGCTGCCCCGGCCCCCGGGGCTCCGCTCCACTTGTCCAGGCTGCCGGGGGCAGGGCTGCAAACCGGTGGCCTGCTCTGACAGTGCCTTGTCCAGCCGGCATGGGGTTCCGAAAGAATCTGGATTTAGTCTCAGCGTTCATAATTTGGGGAGTTCCACATGTTCAGAAGAGGCTAAATGGTAGCGGTGGGTCCTGTGGGCTCGAGCCTTACACTCCCACTCCCCGGTTTTCCCCGGGGTGGGATCGCTGGGCCGCTCGCCGCACTGGGGCCCACCATGCTGGCCGAGGGCGGGCTCCTGACAGCCACTGAGCATCCTCCGTGGGCGGGCGGCTTTACAAATGAGGCTTCGGTGACTCCAGACAGTGAGCCGAGGAGGTTGGCTTGCCACACCCCTTGGTGCGCGAGGACACGGAGACGCACAGACCGGAGGCCCTTGGCCACGACTGCTCCACTTGTGTGGGGAGGAGCTGGGGTTCAGAGCCAGGCCCGTCTGCCGCCTGAGTTCTGTCCCGGAGATGCTGGGGGTTAGGGGCGGAGTCCGGGGCTAGCTCTGGTCTGTGGTGGGCTGGAGCCGGCCCGCAGCGGCTCACAAAAGCCAGTCGTGCACGCGGCCACCCCCTCCAGCTTCAGCCATGGCACAGAAGTAGCTGAACATTCGCCCCAGTGGGACACTGGCAGATACTTACCCTCGGGGCTACCCTCCCCTCTGCTGCCAAAAGCTGGTTTACTCGAACCTCATTGGGTGGAGTCACCTGGGGCAGGGAGACACTGTGGCCTTGGTCTGTCCAGGGCCATATTCTCCATCCGAATCCGTCTTTGACTCTAGTCCACACAGAGCCCTGCGGTGGGGTGGGGGAGGGGGGAGGAGGGTGCCCCTGCGGGCATTAGGTGACTTGCCTGAGGGCCTGGAGTCGGAGGGTTGGGCTGCGACAGGGTCTCTGGGGCCCACATTTATTTCCTCCTGCCCCTCTGGTGGCTCTTGCCTGTTCTGTCTCTGGAGCCCCTTGCAGTTGGGCGCCCGAGCCCTGAGAACTCCGCTTTCCCCCAGGACTCTGGGTTTCCAACAGCAGGGCTACGTTTGAGCTCTTGGCTCTAAGGAGCCGTCACAAAACCCCACAGAACCCCTCCCCAGGGGCTCGTGTCTTTTAGGCAGTGGCCTCTGACATCGTACTTGGTTCAGAAGCCGGGGCACAGGTCTCCCCAGCCTGCTTCCTGCAGAGCCCTGGGTCTGGCTTAGCATTACAGAGTCCAGAGGCCACTCAGCCCAGCCCTTTCACATTCAGATGGGGAAACTGAGGTTCAGAGGAGTGTGCCAGGAGTTGGAACAGAGCTGGGCCCCTGGCACGCGGTTGAGTCCTTTGTCCCCAGCTAGCTGTCTTTGCACTCAGAAGAGAGTCCCCCTCTGCCCTCTCTGCAACACCATTTCTGGCCTGGTCCCTTTGCCGCTGAGCCAGGTGACTCTTAGGGAGGCAGGAGTCAGACCCAGGCGGGGATGGGTTTGTGTGACACTCCCTTGTACTTGTCATTCCCTGGGAACAGAACTGAGGTGGTGCTGTGTTTTGGGGGCTTGCTGTTGGAGCGGGACAAGGAGACTCCTGGACTCCTGATTCCGTCTTCCGACATCCCCTCCAAATGTCGTATTCTCATCTTTTGGTGATGACAGGGGCTGTGGAAGGGACCCTTGACTGGATCCAGGTTTTTTGAACGTGGCGCTGGGCGTTCCTGAGCCTGAGGTGGGATTGTCCCCCCCACACACCCAGGCTGGGTTTATTCGGGTGAATTAAAGGGCTTCTCTGAAGAAATTGTCCCCGTTTGCAGAAAGCCCCCAAGGGATAGTTAGGCTGCCTGGGAATGGGGTGGGCTGAAAGGAACAGTTCCAAGAGCTGGGTCTGGGGGCTCCCTGGCAGCGCTACTATGGTACAAAGGAGGCCTGATGCTAAATCAGGTGCCTGGGGTCGACAGGTCTGAACTAGGCTCAGTATCCAAGTAGATTTATTGGGTTGTAAAGTTGTCTGGTTAAAAAAAACAAAACAAAACAAAAAAATATATACGTATTTTTTGTTGTTGTTTTTTATATATATATATGTATGTATATATATATTCTTTGATCATCCCCTCCACCCTTGCAGTTCTAGCCAAGGCCATGCTGACCCCACCCTGGGCAGGACCCTGACCGCCCCCGCCCCCATATCTCCACCGGCTATGGGCTGGGCCGAGACCCAAGCCAGAGGCTGCCCCCCGCCAGTTCCACTGAAGTGTTTGAATAACGTGCCCCATGTCAGGGCTGTTTTGATCAAAATCTGTTGCTTGGGCTTCAGACCAAGGAGAAGGGGAGGAATTTGCTCCTTTCCCTGTACCATGGCCAGCTCCTCAGCCCTGCCCTCCCAATCTCCCGACCCTTTTCTCTTGCCCATCTTCCTGTCCTTTCTGGCTCCCCATTCCTCAGCTGGGTTTCCTTCAGATCCCAGACGCTGGAAAGGAAGTGAAGTCAGCGGTCGAGTATGTGTTGCGGTGACGGTGGACCCCAGGGGCTAATCTGGAGCTAGTCCAGGCCAGCAGCGCCTTCCTATGCTGCTCTGCACGCCCCCCCCCCACTCTGGTCCTTGGGCTCATGGAGCCACCTACAGGCTCTGGCAGAGACTGCTTTTTGGTGGGGGACCTGGCTCCAGGGGGTGCTCTAGGCAGCTTTTAACCAGAAATTCTTCTTGGGCCCTGCCCGGTGGCCCCCCAGCCTGATCCGTCATGGGACGGTAGGGAGCAGTGCCCTGGAGGATCGGGGGTGTTGACAGAGAGCCCTGGGACCCACATTCTCCTCTGTGGCTCATTTGATCCATCAATTGATTTAAGCCCTGTCGATATCAGCCATCCCATCTGATCAAGTTCCCCTTCAGCTGGGGGAGCCAAGGCATCTCCAGAAACCCCTCAGTCCCAGGCAAGTCCCTATGGTCCGTTACCCTACTTCCAGTTCCAGTGAATAGGGAAGCCCTGAATTTGCTCAGGCTTTGAATCCAAGCCCGATTTCAAGCACGTATTGGTTCAGAAGTCTACCTAATCCCTGCGCCCTTCAGTTTTCTCATCTGTATGCTTAGCGGCCAGTCCCGCACCCAGCACGTAATGGGTGCTTGGTGTATTTTACTGGGGGAGGAAAATGCCGTAGGAGACATCTGGTTTTCCACCCCAGTTTCTTTGACAGGCTAGCAGTGTGACTTTGGACAAGTGGGTTATTCTTTCTGAGCTGCAGTTACCTCATCTGTAAAATGGGCATGATAGCAACCTTTCCGAGTTGTGGAGAAGACTATAGAAATCGCCTCTTGCAAAGTAGGGGCTCCAGAAATGAGCTATTACGTGAATGAAAACAGTCACCAGATTGGAGTTGGGAGGAAAATATCTTTAGTCTCCACTGATTAAAGACTGGCATCTTTACAAAGAGACATTTTAAACGGTATAAGTAATATATCAATACTTTCTGCATTTTTTTTTTTTTTTTTTAGATTTTATTTATTTGACAGAGAGAGATGCAGCGAGAGAGGGAACACAAGCAGGGGGAGTGGGAGAGGGAGAAGCAGGCTCCCTGCTGAGCAGGGAGCCCGATGGGGGGCTCGATCCCAGGACCCTGGGATCATTGCCTGAGCCCAAGGCAGACGCTTAACGACTGAGCCACCCAGGC